AAAAGTTACGGTTTATTTCATTTTAAGGATGAGCACCAAGCAACATCTCCAGGTGTTCCTTTGAGAACCAGGGCAAAAAAGTGATGTGGTCCTGAATATACAGGTCTATTCTAGCTTTCTTTACTTTTCACTTGCTGTATGATACTAGGATTAACTAACCACTATAATACAATAGGACTACTTATTTCAAAGTTGTCGTAATAAATCAGCAACTGGTGAGGATGCAAACGTCTTGCGACATGTTTCGAGTCATTCCTATGCTCCATGAGTCTTTATGGTATGAGATGAATGACAAAAGAATAATAGATTATTGATGTTTCAAATGCGTTTGAATGTTAGAAATCTGTTGAAGGGATTTATCAATGTCTAAAGCAGTGGCGGCTGGTGGAAAATATTTTTGGTGGGGCTGTTGATATAGTGAGTACAATTTTTTTTTTTGGGAGAAATGACCCCTTAAATTAGGACATCTGGTGATGTAATGGCGCGTTTCCAGTGCAGCGCGGAGCTCGCTTTAATGCTGCGTTCAGACCGGACGCGATGCGAATATTCGCTTCGCTCTAAACGCTCCCATCGCATCGCTCTAGTCGCTCGAGTTTCACCGCGGCTGCCAGCTGTGTTTACTCGCATCATTCAAACAAGACGTGCTGGCTCGGGAGCTACAACTACAACAAAATGAACATATTTTACCGTGATTAAATTGTAATACACGTTTCTAAATGATGCTGAATTAACAACATACTGATACCGGTTAGTAAAAACCATGAATTAATGCTTTGACAAGTCTGCAGACAGACGGCAGGCGAAAAACCTTTTAGAATGCTTGTTTTCTGAATGGAGCTTGGCTAAGCTAACGTTATATATGCTCCGACCGTCCACACTCACAACAACGGCCTATACAGACATAAATAAACCAGCGACTGTATTCTCCATGACACAGACAGTCTGTGGTTTGTACTTATTTAACTTTTGTCTAGCATGGGAAACAAAAGATAGCATTTACTTGTTTGGGTGCGGACCGAGGTCCGGCGACTCGACCTGCACACCATTCTCATCCAACTACTGCTGCGTCACCTTGGTCACTCACGTCACGAGTCTAAAAAGCAACTCACGTCAACGCACGTAAGCAACGTGGACGCCAACGTGGGCGCCAACGTGAGCGCCCTCGTGACCAAAATATTTGCCGGCTCTGATTGGCTGAAATTATGTTTCGGCGGCACAGTTTACTATTGAGACTTTTGTAACGTGCTGGTTGCTGCTGTTTGGCTCGGGGGCTCCGCCCGGTAATGATAAACTAATGCCATGGGCAAGGCCAGGCAGGAAACATGTGACTTATCAGTAACTTTAGACATCGTAACACAATTTTAAACGAGATTTTATTGTAGATTATACATTTTACTGATAGCAATTGTATGATATTTACCTTGTTCATTAAAAATAAAAATATAAAATATATATATTTTTTTAAATATATATTTTTTCATTTAATATTTTTTTTTGTATGTGGGAAGAGGTGGGGCGGCGCCCCTAGCGCCCCTATGGACCGGCCGCCACTGGTCTAAAGTCAAGAAAAACTGTCTTGCCCAACAATGTGAGGGCATGCTATAAGGAGTATAACATCAGCAAGCGTGATTTCAACATATTGACACAATGGAACACACAATTGACGATTCATGCATGAAAACAAAATATGGTGTTAAAATGAGAATAACCTAAAGAACATAGGACTGAGGAAACATAGAAATGCTCATGTGTCTTTAGACTCATGTGTCTTTAGACTCCTTTTTAACTAGCAAGTTATTTTTATTAGTTTTTTGTGAAAATCTACTGACTCTGGTTAGTAATGAATAGCTCGTCTCCATCGGTATGAGAACCAGTTGTTTGTCAGAAGTTTGATAGTAAATATACCAACATATAATACAACTTGACAGGCTTAGCAACATTAACTAAATGTCAGTTCAGGCTTATGCCCAAGGTATGGGACAGTGCAATGTAACTTTGAATCACATTGCATTTATGAAAACGTAGCTGATGCATCACTTTGTAATGGCTGTTAAATAATATACTATCTGAGTCTTGATGGTGTTGTGATAGCGCTGTGGAGGAGCGGGATTCTCTGCCTCTCATGCGGCTTTCACACCAGCGCTTTTCCCTTTCTAGCTCCGAGCTAGAGCTTTTCTGGTTCAGCTCCGGTTTCCCTTTTCTGCTCCCGCTCTGTTCACACCGCCCAGCACCCGACTGGTGCTGCCGCTGCTGCGTCATGACGTCACCGTTTACATCGCTGATTTGCTCCCCAACGGCATTACGGCGCTCACAACAACGGGGAACTGCGTCGGGTCGATGATCGTGTTGCTTTTAATCACACGAAGCCAGAATAAATTGAATAACAATTTCTCCAACCTTATACTTTGCTCCAGAGTGCCGTGGTTCATTGTTTATTAATGTGTTTCTGCAGCATTTACCGACCGCTGCAGTGTTGGCTGCTCTTCCACGGGAGTTTATTCTCCTCCGTTAGCTCCCAGTTAGCTCACACTGCAGCGGCCGCTCTAAAGTATTCACTGTCCGACTCACACGAGCAGCTGATACATATCCCCAGTTCCCCTTAGCCTAAGTGAATGTGTGTCAGTCTGAATTGACGCTGTTTGGTATCACAACGCTGTTATGAAAGTTTCTCTGGTATAAAATGGGTGATGTTAGCATAGCAACCGAAGCTAAACTGACTACTTGCTATTGCTATCCTATTGTGGCATAAACCGTTTTCTGCAGGCACATTTTACCGGCGTATTTTTATTATGATTCTACTTGTGATAGTCGGACACGACAACCTGTGCAGCCCATGTATTGATTCCATCCGATAGCTGCTATAATACAAAACAACACGTCTGCCTCTCTCCACAATGATCAATAACAGTGAACGGATGGTCAAAGTAAGGTACAAATAAACAGAATCACACGAAGCCTGGTTAGTGTTGCCTGACTTTATAAAGTGTGTTTATAAGCACTACTGCTTGTAGGCAGGCATGACAGTCGACCCATGTTCAGGGGAGGTGGGTTTAGTTTCCTGCATGCCTCGACGTAGAGAGACGTAAGCGACGCCACCTCTTAGCTCCGAAGCTCTTGCCTCTAGACCGACCATTTTTTGGAGCTGGAAGTGAACCGGATTCCGGAGCTAAGAGCCGGCGCCGGTTCGGCACACGCAGTCACACGACGAATACGCCTTTTTTTTTACGAGTGGGAAAAAAGTCTGTCATTCAGGGCAGTATCCACTACACCAGGGGTGCCCAACCTTTTTTGAACCGAGAGCTACTTTTAAAGTTGCCAGTCTGCCGAGATCTACCAGTCCAAATAGAGAGGCGTAGCCATTACTGACAGCCTACTACTAGGTAAATACACACTACTTGTATAAAACTGACCTTTCTACGATGAATACTTCATAAAATACTGCAGATCCTTTATCTTACCTTTTTCTAATCTACACACACACACACACACAAGTATTTAACTGAAGTTACACAAGTGTTGTTGATACAGAGTTGGAGTTTATTCACACGTCACACACTACAGTGGGTCATGTTTTCAAGAAACATTGAAGTGCTGCCACATATGACACAGGAAAAAAGGAAAAGACGCTGAACCCTTTATTTGCCATTATATAAAAATAGTGTTGCTACAAAAGTATAAATGAGGCTTACTAATAAGACAACTCAGATCTGAAGCTACACAGGAATCTGCTGCCAAAGTGCAATAAAAAAGACAAAATTAATAGAATCAAAACCTTTTTTTGTTGCATTTTAGTAGATTATAAAAAGAAATGCCTTTAAAATAGGATGCAAGCAACACTAGTTTCTTAACCTGAATTGATAATAGACTAATCAATTTAAACAGAACTGATCTTAATGTTTGCATTCTTATACCATGTTGTACAATAATTATAATGAATAAGTTCAAACAAACTAAAACTTACAGCTGATTAATAACGGTATCTAACTTGAGTTTTTATTATATCAAAAACCTGTTGAAATGCTACCGTTTTTTACTGTCCCCCAAAAGCGTGTCGGCAGCCTCCAGGACTGCTTCTTTCACAACTTCGCCATATTTGAAAGACTTCATGTGTTTGACAAGAACGTGACTGACACGATAAGATGCTATGGTAGCAGCCTTGCTCTTGTTGTTGGGCCCTGGTGAAAATGGACTGCTGTGCATTTAACTGTCCTTTCAGGCCCCTCCCCTTTTGGAGCGTAGGGCAGAATTAGGAGGGAATTCCGTCTGGTAGCGTTTGTGCACTGTTTTGAAATGCCGCTCCTAAATTACCCTTCTTCGATAAAGCCACGCTCGCATTGCAGATGAGACAGATGGACTTTGAATTGGAATAGATACAAAAATAATCATCCTCCCACTCGGAGTGAGAATTATATATGTTTTGCTTCTGCCATAATTGCGGTCTTGTGTGTGTGCGGCCTGTCACTCCTGTGTTGACACCGTCTATGGTTGACACGGACAACGTTAGCGAACTAGTGCAGTGCACACTGCCCACTGCTCACCAGCCACGCCCCGACACATGGGGTCACGCCGGCCAATCACAAAGCTTTGATGCGTTCAAGTGCATTATTCTGGCACAGGAAGATTATGTTACAGGACATTAACGATAAAACAGAATATTGTTGTTCTATTTTTAGACACATCTCGCGATCGACTGGGAATCTCCCCGCGATCGACCGGTCGATCGCGATCGACTGGTTGGGCACCCCTGCACTACACTATATATTATCCAGGGGGCGGTATTGCGCCTAAAAGCTGTTTTCCTGCCGCCCTTAAACAACAAATGAAGAACAAGAAGAAACACAACAACAAAACGAACAAAATACAAGAAGAAGAAAAGTTAGTATGGCGATTTCAGATAACACACAGGAGCTAGAACCCACCTGCTTCTTTTAAATCAGCGGTGTGGGAACATTTCGGGTTCCCTGTGGACTACAATAACGATTAAGTGTGCGAGTGGTGGATCGGACGAGGACGGTGTGTCGGTGTTGTTCTACAGTGGTGCGGTATGCTAATGGTAACCAGTGATGTACCTGAACGCGTTCAATGAACGATCGTTCATGAACGCGTTCATATTTTGGGCGAACGTGAACTGAACGTACTGTATTTCCGCTAGATGAACGTAATTGAGAACGCGTTCATTCTCAGCGCTGTATAACGGCGTTCAAAAGTGCGTTCATTCTCAGCACTGTATTATAACGGCGTTCAAAAGTGTGCCAGATTTCATATGCCTTTCAGCCGAAAACCCAGTTAAAACACACCGTAAACAGGCTTCAAAATAATGCGGAAAACCACCCAATCTGGCAACAGCAAGCTGCCTGTGACGCGTACGCGCCTGTCACCCCTGGCTGTCGCACTAAAATATACGTCATCAGCAGTGCTTGAATTGGAATGAAAAAGGTGCCAGTACTCTAAAATCAGCAACTTTTTCAAGTCAATTTTATATATACAGCCCACAAACAAGAATTTGGCTACTATAATGCTGGTGGGTTTGTCTCTTTACTACTGTATATTTTAGAAAGGTTCACTGTACTTAACATTTTTTATGATAGGCAGCGGATATGGCTAAAGCTCAGTAAGGTCAATATTAACTGAAAATATAGCAATCAAAGTCTAGATCTTCTGCTGAAGACACATGAAGCAGAGACCTTTCAGGTGAGAGCCCCTCTGGTGGTGTTCAACATTAATGACAAGGAAACAAAGCTCTGGTCAGAAGCATTTTTTATAAAAAGCTTTAACAAAATTAAGTATTTCTGTACATTTTGAATGCAATCTAACTTTCCAACTCAGAAAACGAAAAAGTGCCAAAAGTCTTCTCACATGGCTGAGCTGCTTTGCAATATACTTCACCACTGAAGAATACAAATATGTATAAAGTAAACTATGATGCAATCTAACTTTCCAACTCAGAAAAATGATAAAGAGCATGAACAAAGAACATGTAAAAACAAATGCAAAATTTGCACAATCTAAAATGAGAAACTGTAACTGCAAGTAACAAAGTCTGAGCCATGGTAAAGAGTTACATTGAACACCAAGCTGATCAGATAACTCCCTGGTTGATCTGAAGTCCTTCTATCTCCAGGATCTGTACAAATCGGCACATTATGCCAAAAGTCTTCTCACTGGGTGAGCTGCTTTGCAATATACTTCACATTGTTAGAAAAGGCTCCAGAAGGCCTTGGGGACATCAGTATCAGGGGCTGGAGCTGGACAGGTTCTTTCATCAGCACTTCTCCTTCCCTTTGCCAGCCAGGACCTCACATACTGTTCCGGATTGAACTGTCCTAGTGATGGTCCATTACATTTAATGAAAACCAGGCTGGACAGTCGGCTGACAGAGAGAGCATTCCTTTTTGCAGTAAGGATATCGTTCATGCAGCTGAATGCCCGCTCACACTCACTAGTGGAGACAGCGATGGTTCGGACTGCTTTCAGTAGAGGCTCCATGGCAGCAGGTGTACGGGATGCCCTGGTTTCCTTGTATTCGCGAAAGCCCTGAACAGTCTCTCTTCTGTCCACTTTCAGCACTTCGCACAAACGTAGCACCTCTACGTCCCCATACTGTACGTCTAACTCCTCTTCAGGCCAACTTCCAGGATGGATAACTTTCATGTCCTGGATTAGCTGATTGTCCCGGGCCTCCCGGCCATGTAATGGGATTTCTCTTGTGCTGACATGAGAGGAGGTTGTGGAAGTCATTCTGTGTCTCAGATTCTCTACCATACTGCGGAAAAACTGACCTGCATGAATCTGTACAAGCCTGCCATTCTCACGCAGGGCAAACACCCTTGAAGGACTTCTCAGCTAGAGCTGTATGAACTGTAGTCATGTGTGGGCCAGGCATGGTGACCATGGATTCAAAAACTCGTATTTCTCGAGTTAAGAGCCTATCTGCTGTAGGCAGTGTCATCTCTCTTTTTTGGAGTTGCCGAGAGAGGTCGCTGAGCTCTGTGAGCGCATCGTACATCAGTCCCAGATTGCTGACAAACGTTGCAGATGTGAGCACATCATCCAGGCCCTTGTACTTTGCTCTGTCTCTGGAATCCCTGCTCGTGTCGTTTGCAGCATTTGTGAAGTGATCATGAAGCACTCGGTAGTTTTCCCAGACTGCTCTGACGCTCCTTTCACTTGAAGCCACCCAGCGGATGGACAAAACACGCCCTATCACCAGGAGACGCTGTCCGACTGCTTGCGCACACTGCGCTAACTGCCTCTGATTTTTGGGGGAGGCATGGAACAAGGAATAGAGTTTGTCAAAAAAGATCTGGAAATGATTGAGCCCTGAGACCTCCTTGACCACATCCCCAACTGCCAGCTCTAGACGATGATTGGAGCAGTGCCACACAAACAGGCTTGGGAATTTACTACACAACTGGGTAGCAACGCCTGTTCTCTTCCCTAGCATGACTGAAGCCCCATCACATGCAAAATAAACGAAACACTGACCTAAAAAGTCCTCGTTAAAATCTCTTCCAAGACACTCCATTAACGCCTTTGTGATGTCATCAGCCGTTGTTCCATCCAACTCGATCAGCTCCCAAAAAAACGTTTCGGGCTCAGCATCAGCTAATGCTGAGCGTAGACACACAACAAGCACCGTTTTACCACTAATAGTGGTAGATTCATCGACCAAAACACAGAGTTTTCTTTGGTTTTCTGTAATGTCTTTTGCCATTTTTTTCTTCAGCTCATGAGCTATGTGGTCGATGATTTCGCCACAGGTTTTATTGGAGTGCAAAACCCTGCCCACGTTCAGCCCATTCAGTTTCTGTACATTCAAATCAATTGGCATGTCTGTGAATGGCCGGCTATGTTTGCCAATTTTATATGCCGTTCGAAAAACTCTGATAGTGGTGTCTAATTCAGATTTATGCATAGACTGCACTTGATGTTGAATAGTTTCACGTGAAGCAGATGTAAGGATGTCAGCAGCTTTTACATGGGCTTGTGATTCTTTATGTTCTTTGATTTTTTTTCTCAGGCTAGCTTGTTGTTTGCCCTTGTCAACACCGAAATGAGACACTGCACACTCACCCCATTCAGTTGACAGTTTCAGTCCTTGTCCAGTGTGTATTCCCAAAGATTTGACATCTCTGCATATCCGACATCCTAGCTTCTTATCTTTAAGAAGGAGCCATGCATTGGTCTTGCAAAAATATTGCACCTGGTCCGTTGTCCAGCAGTCAGGTGCATCGCTTTGCCCGGTGTTGGTGGTGGCAGTTGCGCCAGCAGCAGCTAACTTTAGAGGCTCTGGAGGAGGCGGCGGAGCTAGTGCTAATGCTAATGCACTAGAACTTGGAGCAGGAGGATCAACCAAAGAAAGCTCCCCATCAGACACAATTTCCAACACAGGCACAGCATTCTCTGTATTTGAAGTTTCTTCCGGCGACAACCGCTGTCTTTTTTGCACTTTTATTAATCCACGCTAACATTTTAGAAATGCTAATTTGTGACGTGACTTGCTTTCCTTCTCTCGGGGGCGTGCCTGCTCTGTTCTATCACTCTACATAGCCACCCACTGGGTGGGAGTTGCACTGCATAAACACAACACACGTGCATCTAGGTATGTACATTGTAAAGCATTAAAACATGGTTTTACTAACAGTTTTCAGTATGTTGTTACTTCGGCATTATTATTATTATTATTTTGAAACGTGTATTACTATTAAATCACGGTCAAATAGGTTAATTTTGACATAGTCGTTTCCACCACAGTATTTACATGGAGAATATAAGCCCCGCCCCCTCTCCAGCACGTTCTGTTTGAATGACAGGAGTAAACAGCTGACAGCCGCTGTGAAACTCCAGCGGTTAGAGCGATGAGAATGTCCGTTCGGCACCTCATGACGCATCTACTGAGTACCGGGCGGCTGTATATATATATATGGATGTATAATAAGAACGGCGGGAGAGTGTTGAGTACTGGCACGGTGCATGAGTACCGGAGTACCGCCAGCATGCCGGTACTGAGCAAGAAGTGCCGGTACTCCATGGGTCAGAACCAGAAGTGCCGGTACTGCGTACCGGTGAGTACCGGCCCAATTCCAGCACTGGTCATCAGACTCCTCACAACAAACAATGTGGAACCGCGGAACCGGCGAGCATTGAATGAATGAATGAATTAGTATGGACGAAGTCGAGAGCAGCTGCAGCAGCACTCGCTCAGAGTCAGACTCTACGGCGTCGGCGTATGAGCATTTAAAAGAGTTTTACGTTAAAGTCAGTACTGACTCAGACGGAAAAAATCTAACGTTTGCCTGTAAACTGTGTCCGCCCGGTTTGAAAAAACAAGTCCGTACATCGACGACGTCGACAGCAAACCTTAAACGGCACATTGAGAATAAGCACACGACTAGCCTTTCAAGGTATGTGCGAGTGGCGAATAAAGCTAGAGAGAGCCAAAATAGATCCTCTACCACCCAAAACCCATTAACATTGTACAGGAGCGGCCCTGTTTTCACTGTCTCCCAGCCGCAGCTAGACAACCCGGTTTTGCAGTACATCACTGGAGACCTGCAGCCTTTGAGTAAAGTGGAAAGGCCAGCTTTCATAAACCTAATATTGCACCCAAGTTATAGAACTTTTTGTTCTTTGGGCAAACAAGTCAGAAAAAAAAAAGAATGCGACTGACTTAATGAAAAGAGAATTAATGTTTAAATGTTTTGCACTTTGAATATTGAACTTTGAGGTAAAACCTTAGTTTCATACCTCAGCCTGGTTCCTACCTCGTGTTGTGTTAGTACAGAGTTATGTCGGCACATGTTTATATGTTATATGTTTGCACAATGACTACTTTCACTTTTGGTAATTTAAGTATATTTAGATTATTATACTTAATAAAGATCATTCAAGCAGCACGTTTTTCCTCATGTTTTTGAAAATATACTGTAGAGATGAAAGCTGCAGCTGCAGCTGCTACTAGTGTGGACTGAATGGGCAAAGTGTTACGGCCCGTCCACACAGCAGCTTTTGGCGATTTGTCCACCGCTTCCAGCGCATCTCG